TATTTAGGGCTCTATGTTAAACTAGGGAAGCAAATGTGTTTGTGTTATAGATATTCTGTTCTTGCAGTTACCTTTCATTTCAATTCCTGGTGCCTCTGAACTAATCAAAGATTGTCACTAATGGAGGAACCGCACATGGAGGGACACACTTTGTCCACTGAAAATTGGGCCCAGTGTTTAATAGATCTGCTCACATGGCTCACCGTGCATGAGGCCTTACATTTCCCGGTCCCACAGATTGGGGATAAACAAGGGGAGGGGCTATGGTTGCACGCTTTTTAGATCGAAAGGCTGACTTCAGCAGGCCATGCCCAGCAGAAAGAGAGAGCAACAGAGTGGTGCAAAATCTCACTGCTTCACAAAATGCTTCGCAGTGCAACCAGTTGCTGAAAAAAAGATGTCAAAATGAACACAACATGGATGGTGACATTTCCTAAAAAGGTGGATGTTGGATGAGATGATGACAAATTTTGTCTTGGTGCCTCTTCAAAGGCACATGCAACAAAAGTTAGAAGTGTCTGTAGAGTGAAACACACACCCACCTTTATGAGATTCAATATCCTTCATCAGAAATCCGTATTCTTCAACAATCCGGTCCTCTATGGCCCTCTTGCCCATTCCAAAGTCTCGTAAGGTCGTGAGAGTAAATCTTCGCATCACTTTCCAGTTATTGCCGTGAGAAAAAATAACACCTGAAGTGGAAGGAGAGCTTCAAGTCAGCAGAATAATTAAAATAAATACTTCTTAGAGAGATAACCTTACACCCAGAACATTCATTTTGATACGCTAGAGCTAGTCAAAAATCAGGGAGGGAAATTTTCATGAAATTGTTCTTAAATTTTTGGGGGGGATTTTGGGGTCAAAATACAGACAAAAAATTTTCATTGAAAATCTGATTGTTTAAAATGTTTGCCCAGTTGCACATCTGATAAAAGAACAGATTTTTGTCATGAAAATTTAATCTACATTTTTTTCTGTTTTTTTCCATCCCAGTATCATGGACATTTTGAAATGAGAAACATTTCCTCCAGCCTTAAGACATACCATAATAAATTAACAATTTTTAAATAAATTACAGTAATCAGTATGGTTTTTGCATGATATGGATTTGCTATGTTTTTGCAGTGTGATAAATTAGATGAAAGAATTTATCTAAGTTCTTTAAATTGTAATTTATAAAACATATTTATTGAGCTTTATAATCACTCAGTCTAGCAAAAACATCCAGAAGAATCACAATCTGGAGCATGGGCCAAATTCAGAGGTCCTACCCAAGGTGGCATTAGTTACATTCCCTTCCTCTGGATCCCTTTGTACTCAATGAGTCCCTGGTTCAGGAAGACATTTCTATTTAGTAAAGTATTAAGCACATGCTCAACTTTAAGCATAGCTTAAGTCCCATTGATATCAATAGAAGTTAAATACATGCTTAAAGTAAAGAACTTGCTTGCGTACTTTCCCGACTAGGGAAGATTGTCTGCCCGAGACCTATTTACAACCATCCTATGTGGCCTATGATGGTGGCTGAGGACCCAGAAGGGGAGGCAGGGGAAGGTGTGAGTGAAACTAGAGAGGAGACTATTTCCATATTGTCAACCCCAAGCATTAAAAATCACCTGTCAGGTCCCCAAAAAAATCATAAGATATTAAAAAGTAACAAATTTAAAAAACAACAACAAATTGTATGTTCTGTACTTGCCTTCTGGGTTTTCAGTCTTTCAGATTCATATTTTTACACTTTTATCTCAACCAGAGATAGTAACAGGGGCTTTCACAGCTGATACACAGGGGATTAAATGAAGTACCTCCAGTGCTAAAAGCACTTGCAGCTACTGTTTGAGCTAAACAGCCAAGCTATTGTAATTTGGGGTTTTAACAACTCACATTCTCTGTGGAGCAGCACAGTGTGTGAAACCTGTAAGACACTCACCAGCAGGTTCCATTAGAAACTAATTTTTTTAAAAATACAAGCAGATGTTTTCACATGATTCCAGGAGCTGGGGCTTTGTGAAAAACACCCAATATCATGAGGCTCACAACAATATCATGAAAGTCAGCAATGCTGCCATTAAGTGTCCATCTCCGTATGCTTCTGCAGCATGTGACATTAATTTAGTCTCCCTTAGACATGGGCACAGGGGGTATGACTAGTTCTAAGGAACTCGTGGCTCATTCAGGATGTTTCTGCTCTCACTCACACCACTTTTAGCCTCAAGTCCATGGGCTTCTCTGAAGTTACTCCTCATTTATGCTGATTGACACACATACTGATCCAAATTGGCATGCCAACCCCTAAGCCATTCTCTCCCTCCACAGAGAAACCATTCCACTTGTTTGAATAAGTTTGGCTTATGAGTAACAAGAAAAGTATCACCATATCCTTTTGAAAGATGTTCAGATACTGGTACTTTAGGTCTCCCTGCAAAAGCATCTGCCTGGTTCACAAGAGCCTCCTTCACTGTCTCATATCCCGAGAGCACCACCATTTTCTGGCATCCCATCTGAATGCTGAAGACTGGGCCATATTTTTTTGACAGCTTAAATGGGGAAGAAAATACAATGACTTAAAGAAAGAAGTGAAATTCACAGCTGGTTCAACACTATTTTGTCATCATGACTGAATGTTATTCCAATGTCAAATTCTTTCCTACGTGCAGAGAAAGAGAAGCAGTGGTTAGTAATAAGGCTATCATTAGATGTTTTAATTATTAATTATGCTGATAGGCCCAGATCCTCAAAGGTATTTAAGTGTCTAACTCCCACTGGGTCATAATGCCCTAGGGTGACCAGACGTCCTGATATTAGGGGCTTCGTCTTATATACACAACTAGACCCACCCCCCCCTCCAAAAATGTGTCCTGATTTTTCACACTTGCTGGCTGGTCACCCTATAGTTACCAGAGTGTTCAGTCTGGACTAGAACCTTATTGTGCTAGGTGCTGCATAAATACGGTCACTGTGACAAAGATCTTACAGTCTAAGTCAATCTGTTTAGATGACGAGCATGAAAATATAGGGACAGATTCTTGTCTGTATCCAACGTCCAGAAGGTGCAGTTCAGTGGGGAATAGAGAGTGAAAAGGAGCTGGTTGCACCTCCCTGACCTGAGGTCCGATTCTATTGCAGCCCAGAGACCGAGCTTAGAGCAGTGATGGGGCTGCTCTAAGGTATGCTGGCTGGATTGGTTCCCCGGGTTCCTTTACACTAGCTAAGGATTGTTGGAGCACAGCAGCACATCAGTCATACCTCCGCCCACTTGTTTGCCAGATGCTATGTGGGGTGGTGACCCAGGAGCCAGAGATACTAGCTCTACGCAGGTCTGAGGACTTCTCCATGGTGAAGGAGCTGCCCAACCTATTAATCAGTTTAGCCTCATTTTGACCTTAAAATCCTAACTCCGTTTCTCATGTTACCATTTTCCTTTTGTTTCATGGTTTTCAGATCAAATCTCCTCCTCTGCTGGCTCAAAGAGGCAGGGAGAGTTTGGTTTCAGAGTCTTTAGCTAGCATTGAAAATATTCTCATTGTTTATATGTACACACACCCCCATAAATCTATTTATAAGCCGTATTTCCCAGATTTATTTGGTCCAAACTTGAAGTTGATTTATTTGCATTGCAGATATATTTTCAGATGCCTGGACTTCTGAGTCCTTGGGCCGGGCCTGGTCATTTCATTGTCTGCACTCATCTCCTAAAGCAATTGTATAACAAAAACTACAATTATTCAACAACCACAGGAGATATACAGTTAATGAATCTAGCTAATTATAAGCAAAACCATAGAGCCAGGTACACCTGTATAAAACCACTGTAACTCCATTTATGGTAATGCAATAGGGTTGCCAACTTTCGAATCGCACAAACCGAACACCCCTGCCCCATCCCTTGTCTGAGGTCCCGACCCCCACTTGCTCCATCCCCCCTCCCTCCGTCGCTCGCTCTCCCCCACCCTCACTCATTTTCACTGGGCTGGAGCAGGAGGTTGGGGTGCTGGACAGCGGTGAAGGGTCTGGCTTGAGGTGCAGGCTCTGGGGCGGGGCCGGAGATGAGAGGTTTGGGGTACAGGAGAGGGCTCCGTGCTGGGCCAGGGAGTTGGGGTGCGGGAATGTGAGGGCTCCAGCTGGGGTGTGGGCTCTGGGGTGGGGCTGGGGATGAGGGGTTTGGGGTGCAGGAAGAGGCTCCGGGCTGGGGCAGGGGGTTGGGGATCCAGCACTTGGTGCGAGGGCATCGCATGGAGCCTCCCTGGTTGCCCATATGCTTAGGGGCTGTAGGAAGTTGCTGGCCACTTCTGGAAGCTGCGTGAAGCCAGGGCAGACAGGGAGGATGTCTTGGCCCAGGGCTCCCGCTGCATTGCCTACCGGACTTTTAATGTTGAAAACCGGATGCCTGGCAACCCTCTGATGCAATTACTCCAATGTTAGGCTGGTGCAGCTGAGAGCAGGATTTGGTAAAAAATATGTTCTCAAGTCAGGGTTCTTTATAATGTTAAACGTTTCAGTTCAGTGTGAGTATAAGGTTTCAGACTATTTATTTATGTATCTAGTAGAGGCTTGAATACTGAATGATAAACATAGTGGGCCAAATTCATCCACTGAAGTCAGTGGTGTTGCACCAGGGATCTATTTGGTCCAGTTTGCTTGTTAAATGTGTTGTGGCAAAAAGTAATTTAGACAAATATTCAAAGAAATGGTCATACAACCCAACCCTGACTCCTCTGAGTCTCATCTTTAGGGAAGGCACGCATGTTTGTGGATACAAATTTGCACCTGCTGTTACAGTATTGAAACATCTACCTTGTACACAGAAACTGCAGAGTAAAATGTCTAACTTGAATTTGTGCCCAGAATTCATAGTGGGTAGACTTATTTGTTGATGCAAACGTGTGCCCCCCCAACGTGGAATCTATTGAGATCCAGCTGAAAAGCAGACCTTTGTGTCAGTTTCTAGCATGCAGTAGAATGACTAAGTAGCTCTGTCAAATTTATGCTGGATGTGGCAAGTATAAGCCCATGAACATTTATATACAATGCTGGGCTCATGGACGTGACTGATGTTAGGGATCTATAACATTCCAAAGTAAATGGACACCACAGGTGAGATCCTGGTCATATTGAAGCCAATGAGAGTTTTGGTATTGCCTTCGATTAGGCGAGGTTTTCACTACAGGTTTCTATCTCTAAGCTCTGTCTCTCTTGCTCAACCTGCACAGGGTGAGGCAAAATGATCCTATATTCAACATTGCATTACACATCCAGGTAGTGACAGGTAGAAGGGATGGAGGATACCCTCTGATACCTTGGGGATAACGGGGTTTGGTGAACAATGTGATAATACAAACACCAAAAGGATTTACCTCCAGCATAGTCCGGTAGGGCCTCTTCAGGTCCATTATATGCAGATTTCCAATGATGGGTAAAGGCTTTGGTCCCGGGGGGAAATTCTCTTGGAAGTTGCTAGTCCAGAATTTTTCAGTTTTCATAATAAACAGAACAGTCAGGACAAAAAGTAAAAATATGGAAATGGGATCCGTCCACTCCATTGCCTTTCAATAAGCAAATTGCTGCACAGGGTAAAATGCAAAGGGTGCAATAAAAATATGATCAGTGTCCGTTGGCAGAAATTAGCAGCGTGAAGCACTAATGCCCGTCATATTAGCTACTGCATAGACCTTACCTATAATATAGTATTTAAACTATCAGGTGACTGCAAATAATTTATTCTCCTCCCCAGTCATTTGCTAATCCCCATTCAGTGAATAAATGAGGATTGCAATACACCGTGAAAGGGGCAGTGCCTGGCTTGTCAAACCAAGACTTATGTAACAGGTTGACAGAGAAGTCTATGGATCTCATTGTGCTGGCTGAAAGCCCAGCAGTCCGGTTTAGCAAAAAAGTCAGTCCAGTTAGTGATTTAAGTAAAGAGTGAAATTGCAAACTCTGCAAAGGTTATTGACTGATTGACCCCTGAAGCCAGAGGGACTGGCCAAATGCAAGTGCCAAAGCTGGATGAATAGAGCTCTGAAGGTGGGATGTTTCCAAAGTGTTCAGCATTGCTTTAACTCTACTCCCTTTGAAATCAATGGGATATTTACCACTGGCTTCAATAGGAACAGAATTAGGCCAACACTGAACATTTTTGAAAATTCCACTCCGCTTCATTCACATTCATATGGGTAGCAGTAGCACTTCACAGGATCGTGACCATTGCATTTGCAGATTCCAGATGTACGGGGAGATTCTGGCAGACCAGCAAAATGCCTGGACCACTACCGATAATTAGAATATCTTATTGCCAAAAGCAGATAAATCAGTAGGTCTTAGATATGCTAAGGCTGTTGTAGAGGCCTGCTAAACAAGAATCTAGGAGGAGAAGAGGGTCGAGGCGGGGGAGCCAACCCTGTGTCCTTCCTGATAAGATCTCTGTTGAGATTGCTGAGGTATGTGTTTTAGAAAAACAAGAAGGTGATCTATACCTGCTCTTTGGGATGTGTTTGTCAGGGTCCTCAAAACATGTGGGTAGGGCCAGCCCTAGCCCAAACAGTGCCCCAGGTGAGAAGCATCTTTGGTGCCCCCTCCATTTGTTAAACTTTTTAATACCTTATTTTTTATTGCATTTGTATCTCATTTCACAACTTTGATGCATGATTTGCACTGATTGAACTGTGCACCAACCTTGCGTGGACCAGTATTAAATAGTGTTACAGGCTAGCATGGTTTACTCTTCCCAAGGCTAAAGCCTGGGATCAAAGTGGATAAAATCTCAAAGACCATAGAAAAAGGAAGGCGGGGGGGGGGGGTTTGGTGAAATAGTTGTGGGTGAGGACAAAGTCACAAAGTTTGGCCACCAGGTTTGCCGTGACTTTATCAGGGATACTGTTCCTGACGGCTTGTAGTTCATCTTTGTGTGGAATGTTGGTGTAGACTGTAGAGGGCTTCTACATCCATAGTGCTGGTCAGGATGCTGTTTTCTGGAAGATCACCAAAGGATTGTAGTTTCCTCAGGAAGTCAGGGGTGTCTCGAAGATAGCTGGGAGTGCTGGAAGCATAGGGCCTGAGGAGAGAGTCAATCCTGCTGTCAGGGTGCCAATGCCTGAGATGATGGGGCATCCAGGATTTCCAGGTTTATGGACCTTGGGTAGCAGATAGAATACCCCTGGTCAGAGTTCTAGGGGTATGTCTGTGCAGATTTGTTCCTGTGCCTTTTCAGGGAGTTTCTTGAGCCGATGGTGTAGTTTCTTTTGGTAACCCTCAGTGGGATCAGAGGGTAATGGCCTGTAGAATGTGGTGTTAGAGAGCTGCCTAGCAGCCTCTCGTTCATATTCCGACCTATTCATCATGACGACAGCACCTTCTTTCTCAGCCTTTTTGATTATGATGTCAGAATTGATCCTGAGGCCGTGGATGGCATTGTGTTCTGCACGGCTGAGGTGATGGGGCAAGTGGTGCTGCTTTTCCACAATTTCAGCTCGTGCACGTCAGCAGAAGCACTCTATGTACCAGTCCAGTCTGTTGTTTCGACCTTCAGGAGGAGACAGCAGGATTGTCTGGCTACAGCAGACCAGCTCAGAATTCAAGTTGTTTGCATGCTTAATTGTATATTTCCTTACCGTAACATGTTTGGGGTTTTAGTTTTTAATCTTAACTCTGAATTCCCTGGGTTTATAGTGCTAGGGATAGTTACATTATGCCTGCAGTATTTTACTTTAAATTACTGATACGTACTGAACCTTAACTGCATCTTAATAGCTTGTGTCTGAAAAAAAATTCTTTTAAACATTACATAGAAGGACCTAGATGCAGGCAGAAAAGAAGAGAAAAGAGGTGAAGATGAACAGGAGGAGTGAGAATGTGAGTCAGGGAGCATGGCAGTGAAAGGTAATCTGTGGTTAAAGTACAGCGAACTCCACTTTAAAATGCTAACTGTCAAATTTAATATTCAGTTACTTTCCAAGAATCAATGAATCGTAAAAGGAAATACCAATGATCCATCTTTTGGGGCCAATGTAATAAATTCGTTTTCTCATTAACAGAACTGAAAAACAGAAAACAAGGGGGGAATGATTTTGCAATCCTAACATGAGCTTGGCAAGAAATCCCCAGTTACAGCACCTCCATCTTAGGCTGAGAGGTCACCAGGATGCTCTTCAGTGCTTTTCTGTCACAAAGTTCAGCCCTTTCGAGAAGAGAAAATAAGTGAAAAGCAAACACAGATCTTCCACCTGGGACACTGTCCTTCCTCTGAGGGTTTGGTCTTTTTAACAACAGTCTTTAACCACACCACTGGACTCAGTTTCCAGCCCTCCTGGGCTCCAGCCAATCCCTTCTTTCAAGGGATTGACAAGAGTGGCTACACCATCTCTTGAAGTGGCAGCATAGGTGGTACCCACACCCACTCTCTGCTATAGGTAAACCAGTCCTGGGACCCTATCTACTTGGGCTGCTTGCCCTTAACCACCCACACTGCCAGCTTGTTCCCCGGAGCCTCTTCCTATGAAAACATTCCTCCGGCTTCCCAGTTTATAAACCACTCCCCAGGCTGGGCATAGAAAATACCGTAAGCCTCCTTGCTGAGACCTATTCTCTCTGTTTTCCATCTCTTTTTGTGGAGCACTCACTCAGGGTCAGAGCTACAGTGAAGCAACTCATCCTGCTCCCACATGGCCATAGCTGTATCTAGGTTAGGTTTGGGTTTAGATTCAATAGAACCAAATATTGCAAGCCATTTTTGTGAGGTTTCTGCCCAGAATGGTAGAAATCTAATGAGACAGGTGGCTCTTGTCAGATTTTCACCAGAAATATCAGAAATCTCCCAAGATCAGCTGTTCATGAGCAGTATTCTTTGCATCCAATCCAAAACCAGAAAATGGGCCGTGTCACAGAGTCCTGTGCAAGCTCTCCCAATTTTGTGCCTGAACCCTGTGTTTAGGCTGGTGTAATAAAGAGTCTTCCACGCTTTCCTTTGCGGGATCACCCAAGTGTCTTTATTTACAGCGTCCACGCAGTTCCCCAACAGCTAGTTCCCCCAGACCCTCCTCAGCGTCTCTTGCCTTTGAGACTTCCTTCTTTGGTAAGGAGACAGTGTTGGCCAAATAGGGCCCGTAATTACACCAAGGAGGCACGGAGAGACAAGAAGACGGGTACCAGGTCCTTTATTTGTCAGTCAGCTGAGAGGGTGCTCCCATCGGCTCATGCCAGAGGAGAGACACACCTTACAAGCACAACTGAGCTTCTTTTATACAGAGAGACAAACAACTTAGCAATTCATTCTTTTGTCATCATTATGCTGACCGATAGATAATAGGTTACACAGGATACATATATATTTTGGGGAGGGGGGATACAAGAGACATCTGTTGCGGATACATTTGTCATTTTGAAGGGAGAACAAGGTACATCCCTTGACCCTTTGCACTAAATACCTTGGGGATATATGGGAAAGCGGCTGCAAACTAACTATTTCTCTCTGTTCCCTCCTCCTTATCTCTATTATTTCTGCTAGTGTGAGTGAAACTGCAGCCATCTGCCAGAAACGCTGACCAATACATTTCTGCTTCAGCCTGCTTCAGAGCATGTCAGCAGTTAGCATAGAAGTAGGTGAGAGTTCCCAAGATGGAGTCACTGTGGTTCACAGACCCAGAGCAAAAGAGCTTCATCGGCAATTTTGGCCTTCTACTCTCCCGAGTTACTTGGTAGCTATGCCTAGTGGATCCCAACAATCCCCCCTTTGAGAACACTCAACAAACCTTTGTTAGAGTTTTCTCATACTCTAAAGACAAAATGCAATTAAGCTCCATGCAATCAGGATTATCAATGAAAATAAAACCAATGCTCAGGGTTCTTGCGGGGAGTATGCTGTGACTATTCAGAAAGATCACAACGCATTCCCAGCGACCCTTACTGTCTTTTGAATAGCAGCCTAAGTCCCAAATCGTCGTTAGCAGTCTTCTCCGCAGGCTGGACAGTTCACTGTTCAGGAGTGGGCACTGCTTTCAGTCGAGAGTGATGAATCCAGATCTTGTGTCCTTCGACCTTTGCCACTGTATGGGTGACAAGCAGGATGGTGTGGGGTCCCTTCCACTTCTCTTGGAGAGGCTCGTCCTTCCAGGTTCACACGAGAACAGAGTCACCAGGCTGCAGGGAGTGGACCCGGAGTATCCAGCAGAAGAGGCTGTGAATCTTTGGTGTGCCTGTGAAGAAAAGAAAGAACAGCAGACAGAGGGCACATGTACTGAGACAAGAAACCATACCCCATCTCCCACTCCCCTGCCAGAACTGGGGTACCATTCATAGGCCATGCTCTTCCAAACATAATCTCGAAGGGACTAAGCCCTATCCTGCCCTTAGGGAGAGCACGAATGCAAAGTAACACAAGGGGCAAAGCATCAGGCCACTTAAGAGAGGCCTCCTGACAGACCTTTGAGAGGTGTCGCTTGAGTGTCTGATTTGTGCATTCCACTACTCCACTGGCTTGTGGTCGCCAGGGTGTGTGGAGTTTCCAGGGGATTTGCAGAGCACTTGATATATTTTGAACCATTTGAGACGTGATGTGTGTTCCATTGTCAGAATCCATCCACTGAGGAAGGCCGAAGCGAGGAATGATCTCCTTAACAAACTTAAGAGCCACTGTCTTGGCAGTGTTGTTGCGACATGGGAAGGCTTCAGGCCGCCCGCTGAATCGATCCACTAAGACGAGAAGGTACCTGTACCCTTGAGTCCTGGGAAACTCAGTAAAGTCTATTTGCCACACTACTCCTGGACCTGGGGTGGGTTCCAGGGTGGCTGGTGGCACTGCTACTTCTGGTCGAGGGTTATTCTTTTGGCAGATTAAACCTTCAGCTTGTACCTGTGATGCTAGTGGTTTAAGTCCAGAGGTT